AAAAAAAAAAAATCCTACAGCAGGCAGCAGGACACAGGATGCTGGAGAAAGGGGATGGGTGCAAACATTAACCCTTTCATTGCTGGGTCCCTAGCGACAGCAGTTGGATGGTTCTTAGCTGTAGCTGTTTGTTTACCAACCAGCACAGGAACACGCCAGTACTGTACTCCAGGCTGCCTAAGCCCCACGTGGCACCTGGTGTCAAGGCAGCTTGCAGTGCTGTGTGGGGCTTGGGCAGCCTGGGTGCAGTGTTTCTCAAAGTGCATGTCAAGAATGTGAAGCCCTGGACCCCTCCCAAGACCTAGGGAACCAGAATCTTACAGGTGTGACCCCCAGAATCTTTATTTCTTTATTTTGAGATGGAGTCTCGCTCAGTCATTCAGGCTGGAGTGCAGTGATGTGATCTTGGCTCATTGCAACCTCTGCCCCCTGGGTTCAAGCAATTTTGCCTCAGCTCACCTAGCAGCTGGCATTACAGGCATGCACCACCACGCCTGGCCAGTGTTCTATACTTTTTATCACAATTTTAAAAAGGAGAGAGAGTGCTTGGGTGAGTCCTACACACATATTTAGAGAACCAGAGGCTTTGAGATTATCCTCAGGGCCCCCGTCTGACGGGAGTGTTTCTCTAACTTGCTTTTCCATGATCTCCCAGTAAGAAATACATACTACACACACACACACATTCCTGTTGGGGGCCTAGGGTAGTCTCCTGATTCCCCACTCCTGGTATTCACACCCTGGAGTGGTCCCCTCCTCTTCGGCTGAACCTGTAACTTGCTCCCAAGCAAGAGCATATAGCAAGCTCACACACATAGTTGTTGGTGTGATTCAGTTTGTTAGACAAGAGTCTCAGTTCCTCCCTGGCTATGCCACAGGGCCGCCCACCATGGCAGCTAGCTCCATCACAGCCAGCCATCCAGCGGGCAAGACAGAGGGCTGACAAGAGGGAGTTCTAGCATCACAGAGATCAGGTTTGTTTGTTTTTGAGACAGAGTCTGGCTGTCGCCCAGGCTGGAGTGCAGTGGCACGACTGCAGCTCACTGCAACCGCTGCCCCGACTTCAAGTGATTCTTCTGCCTCAGCTGGGATTACAGGCGTGCACCACCACACCGGGCTAATTTTTGTATTTTCACTAGAGTCAGTATTTCACCCTCTTGATCAGGCTGGTCTTGAACTGCAGACCTAAGGTGATCCGCCTGCCTCAACCTCCCACAGTGCTGGGATTACAGGCACGAGCCACCATGCCCAGCCCTATTTCTGTTTTTCTACAGCTTCAGCAAGTCTTTCAGTTCCCCTCCAGTCCTCCCTCCCCCGGGCTGGTGACATCAGGGCCCGAATCAATCTGCTGCGGGCTGGGCGGCTGTTGTGTGTATCGTAGGATATTGAGCAGCTTCCCTGGCCTCCCCAATATCCCGAAGAAAAATACTGAAATACTTTTTGTATCTCAATGACAGCTCTTCGGTGCCCCCTTCAGTTCTGCACCTAAGCCCAGAGCCCCTTCAGCTCACCCTGACCTCCGCCCGGTTTCTAACACAGCAGTCTTGTAAGAGCCTGACTTAAGTGACCATTGCCTGTGAAAGGGGTAAAAGGAGTTTTCATCTCTAAAATGTCTGAACTGCATGGCCTCTTGCCCTGATGATAAACTGATATCTTGCGTCCCTAAAAGGAATAAATTCATGAGTTGTCTTCGTTCAGCTCATGGACATTCCCCTGTACACAGAGGAAAAAAAAAAAACCTACAACGCTACATTTTTTTTTTAAATGAGCAAGCTTGAGAGTCTGCAGTTTGGATGGATTACCATGAGAACTGACAGGAAGGTGGGAACCCCAGGCACTCCCAGGTTCTTGCAGCAGCTGGTGGAGTTCCCAGTCCATTCCAGGCAGAGCTTGAACTCAGATGACACCTGCTCTCTGGCCGGGATCTGGCACAGGAAGCCCTCAGCAAGCACCTCTGGCAGGGGCTGTGCACAGCCATGCAACGGCCAGACAACAGCTCACCACACCACGCCATCACAGGAGGTAGCAGCTATTCTGAGCACCTCACCGCTGGAGAAATCAAGGCTCAAGAGAGGACCATGCGTGCACAGCGTCCCACAGGGACCCAGGAATCCACCGAGTGTCAGACACCTTGCCCATGCTCTTCACGGAGCACCTTGGAACCCACCCCCACGGGCACCGCTGGCTCTCCTGACATCGCCCTCAAGCATACAGAGACTGTTCCTCCTCAGCCATACCCAGTTTAGATTCCCAGAGCAAGTATGGCCCTGCTCCCCTGCTGGCAGCAGAGCACACGGGACCAGCCAGAGCCCAGGGCAGTGCCCACCTGCAAGCCAGTCCGCTGCGACCAGCACTGCCCGCTAGAGGATGCTGCGGTTGTGGCAGCCGGCAGTTCTGCGTCTCCCAGCTCAGGTGGTGCTGACACCGCCCCCTAGAGGATGCTGCGGGCGTGGCGGCCTGCGGTCCTCCGTCTCGTCACTCAGGTGATGGCAGGAAGCTGCGGGTGTGGTGGACAGCGGTCCTCGGTCTTGTGGCTCCATCCTGGAGCCTCAGCCTCCATCCTGGCTTTCAAACCTCCAGAGGTTATCTGGGAAGGGGTTGCTCCCTCACAGAGGACACATGGGACACCTCCAAGCCCACCAGGCGGGCACTTTCAGCCCAAAGCCGCTGGGCCACCTCCTCATCCTCAGCCTCGGGGGCTGGGGCCTTCTGTTTGAGTCCATCAAAGTACTTTCCGGAAACATCCACCAGTTCCTCCGCCACGGCCAGGTATGTACTGGGCTGGGCAGCCAGCTCGGGGCTCTTGACCAGCAGCCAGAAGATGGGCCCTGCAATCAATCAGCCCACAGGGCATTCAGTCCACACACATTCAGAAGTCAGGAAGCCCCACTACCCCGTCAGGGAGTTCCAGGCCCCTGGAGTCCCACAGAGCCCTCCTCCAGCCCTTTCCCCTTGGCTCCCTCCATCTGCAGTTCCCTTCCCTGGCACCGCCCAGGCAAATCCCTCCAGACGAGGGATCATACCAAAAGCTGCCTCCCCAGGAAGCCTTCCTGGCTTTGCCCAGGTAAATGAAAGCTCTCCTCCTCTTAGCCCCAGTAGTCACCCTACCCCATTTCTCCTTAAGTAACTTCTTAAATGCACCTGGCACCAGCCCCAGGTTAATTTTTCTTTTTTTTCTGAGATGTGCAGTGGTGTAATCTCAGCTCACTGTAACCTCCACCTCCCGGGTTCAAGGAATTGTCCTGCCTCAGCCTCCCAAATAGCAGGGACTTTAGATGCACACCACCATGCCCAGCTAATTTTAGTATTTTTAGTAGAGACAGGGTTTTACCATGTTGGCCAGGCTAGTCTTGAACTCCTGACCTGAGGTAATCTACCCGCCTTAGCCTCCCAAAGTGCTGGGATTACAAGCCTAGCCACTGCACCCAGCCAGGTTAACATTCTTGATGGCAACCACCTATCCACACCAGGGAAGAGAAGGGAACAAGAAGGGAACCCAAAAAGCAGCAGAAGAGAGGAAGTGGAAAGGAAGCAGAAGTGAACTGGAAGGGAAGGGAGGCAGAAGGGAGTGGACGGGAAGGGGGAAGGAGTAAGGAAAGCACCAGGGAAGGTGAAGGGAAGTACTAGGGAAAGGGGAAGGGAAGCAGAAGGGGGGAGTGGACGGGAAGGTGAAGGGAAGTACCAGGGAATGGAAAGGGGAGGGAAAGGGGAAGGGGACCCCCAGGGAAGAGGAAGGGGGAGGGGGCCCCCAGGGAAGGGAAAGGCAGGGGAAGGGAACCAGAAGGGATGGGAACCAGAAGGGACGGGAAAGGCTGGAACTGTTGATGCAGCCTATTCTCTGAGTGGGGTCACGGTGCTGGCCCTTTCCAGGAAGGTCTCCTCTAACCCTCCCAGTGACTGTGAGGTGAGTCCCATTATGGCCTTGACTCTGCAGATGAAGAAAGAGGCTGGTGGGGATGGGGGGGCTTACGCCATTTCCCCAGGAGACACGGCTGGCTGGTTTGGGATGAAGCTGGAGTTACACCAAGCACAGCCTGACTCCAGGAGTCAGTTCCATGGCCTCTTCCTCTAAGACATGGTTTTCTCATTGGCCAGCAGCGTTCTACCTGCTTCCTGGGGCTGTTGGAGGCTGGCAGGCCACGTCGACATAGGAAAGGGACTCAACCTCTCTGCCTCGGATGATGCAGGGGAGGAGCAGGCACGAGGCCCCAGGGACCATCTCGGAGGGAGGGTCCTGGGCCCTGGGCTGAGAGAGCAGGGGTAGAGGGCTCAGTGCAGAGACCCCAGGCTGGGAGGAGACTCACCGAGGGTGGTGCTGGAGAAGGTGGAGCCATGGATGCCTGTGTGTCTGCCCAGCTCTGTCCTGGCCACACCGGGGTGAAGGGCATTGACAGTCACACCAGAGCCTGGGGAAAAAAGAGAAGATTGAGGGAGGGGTCCTTACCTGGAAGGCCGTGGCAGCCCACACTCGGCTCTGGGGCTTCCTATACTCAAACCCCATCATCCCTCTTGCGCTGAAATCTTAGTAAGGTGGTCTTATCTTGCAGGGCAGCTCTGCCACATGGCGCCTGGGAGCAGAGCTTTCCTGGAGGGCTTGATAAACCCAGAACACCAGGCTCACTCGGGAGTCTGAATCGGTGGGTGGGGCTGGGATCTGAGATACGGCTTCTCAGACCAGCTCCCAGTGGGGTTGGCACTGCTGGTCCACAGGCCGTCTTTCAGAGGCAAGGGCCCAGGGCAGGTTTCTCAGCAGACGCTGTGAGGGGTAAGGGGCTGTCTCATGTGCTATAGGACACTGAACAGCATCTGGGCCTTTACCCTCCAAATGCCCAGAGCAATCTCTCCCCGGCCCACCTGGGATTACTGTGTCTCCAGGCAGTGACAATTCCAGGCCAAAAGTGCTCCTGGTTGAGACTCACTGGCTGGAGCCAAAAGGTTGAGCTGCCTACCCAACAACAGCAGGGAAGGACACTGATCCAGGCAGACTAGACGGCCTGGGATGAATGAACAATCATCAGAAGAATGATCGATTAGTGATGTCTGCTTCAGGCACCAGAAGCGGGCACGGTCGTCCCTGTGCTCTACTTTAGCCCACTCTGTTCTGGGGCCACAGCTTGGCCTCTGCTCAGCCCAGGATCACGGAAGGGCTGCTCTAGGCTCAAAGTAAAGAGGGAGGGAAGCCTAGCACCCTGTACCTTGCAGCCGCCGGCTCAGCTCCTTGGTGAAGAGGACGATGGCCAGCTTGCTCTGGCTGTAGGCGGCTTTGGGGTCATACTTCCTCGTCTGCCAGTTCAAGTCATCAAAGTCTATGTGCCCAGCAATGTGGGCCAAGGACGAGAGGTTGATGATCCGTGAAGGGGCTGAGGCTTTCAGCTTGTCCAGCAGCAAGTTTGTCAAGAGAAAGTGACCTGGGTTAAAGGATGACAAAAAGGTCACTTTTGATCGGGCACGGTGGCTTATACCTATAATCCCAGCACTTTGGGAGGATGAGGGGGAGGATGGCTTGAGCCCACGGTGTAGCCCCCTGCCCAGGCCTCACCCAGGTGGTTAACGCCAAACTGCATCTCAAAGCCATCCTCCGTTGTCCAGTGGGGGCACCGCATCACGGCCGCGTTGTTGACGAGAATGTCCACTCGCTCCTCCTCTGGAAGAGAGAGGCGGGGAAGGAGATCTCAGGGTGAGCACAGACCCCAGCCTGAGGCACAGTAGAAGCATTCCTGTGCTTCTGGAGCCCATGAAGGTGGCCACTGCTAGAAACGGTCTGTGCAGAAGTGGCCACATCAGGATGAGGTCATTAGGGTGAGCCCTAATCCAATGACTGGTGTCCGGTTTTGTTTTGTTTTTTGAGACAGTTTCCCTCTTGTCACCGTTGCCCATAATCCCAGCTACTCAGGAGGCTGAGGCAGGAGAATCACTTGAACCTGGGAGGAGGAGGTCATAGCCGAGATTATGGGCACGTGCCACCACACCCAGCTAATTTTATTTTTGGTAGACATGGGGTTTCACCATGTTGGTCAGGCTGCTCTGAAATTCCTGACCTCAGGTGATCTGCCCACCTCAGCCTCCCAATGTGCAGGGATTACAGGTGTGAGCCACAGCACCCGGCCTGGTGTCCTTATAGGAAGGGAAAACAGATGGAGACACAGTGGGGAGGAAGGCCACGTGTGGATGGAGGCGGGGAGAGGAGAGGTGCAGCTCCAAGGTGAGGGTGGGCGACTGCACTGGAAGTGGAAGAGGCTGGGAGGATTACGGCCCAACTCACAGAAACACAGCCCCAGGGACACCCAAATTCCAACTGCTGGCTTCCAGAACGGTTAGGGAATGCACTTCCGAGGGTGGAAGCCCCGGGGTTTGTGGTGCATGGTTACAGCAGCCCCAGGACACACACACATACCCTCCACCGAAGCCTTGGGACTCTTTCCTGCAGGAGCCCCAGCACTGAGCCCCAGCACTGCAGGTTCTCAGGTGCTAGCTTCATTCCCAAACCTGCCACCTCACTTGCAAAAGCAACCACAGTGCCCACAGACTGGGAGGGCGAGGCAGGTGGATCACCTGAGGTCAGGAGTTTGAGACCAGGCTGGCCAACACAGTGAAGCCCCGTCTCTACCAAAAATACACAATTAGCCTGGCATGGTGGCGCACGCCTGTGATCCCAGCTACTCCAGAGGCTGAGACAGGAGAATCGCTTGAACCCAGAAGGCAGAGCTGCAGTGAGCCAAGACTGCACCACTGCACTCCACCCTGGGTGACAGAGTGAGATTCTGTCTCAAGAAAAATAAAAACGTTACATCCACCTCTGAGACTCTGAGGCATTACCCTCTCACTGTCCTTTGTGATCTTACCACAGCGCCTCTCACCTATTCCACAACAACATCCACAACAACGCGGCTCCCTCTTGAGCCCCAAGGGCACAGCAGGGATTCAATGTGTGTGAATGAGTGAGCACCTGCGCCTACCTCCCTATGACTGAGTGGCACAAGGACAGCTCTGGTTCACCTCATACCTCCAGCACCTGGGTCAGGTCTCAGATCACGTTTGCTAAATGAATGAGGTTCCACAACACCCTGTTTGTCCATTACCTGAGCGCCCGTTTACTGAGCGGGGCGCATCGACTCTGAACAAGAAAGCTTTGGCCCTTTCCAGTGCCAGACAAAAGAAACAAAGTGGCCGTGCACGGTGCTCACGCCTGTAATCGACCAGCCTGGCCAACATGGCAAAACCCCATCTCTACTAAAATTACAAAAATTAGCTGTGCATGGGGGTGGGCGCCTGTGATCCCAGCTACTCGGAAGGCTGAGGCAGGAGAATTGCTTAAACCTAAGAGGTGGACGTTGCAGTGAGCGGAGATCGCACCACTGCACTCCAGGCTGGACAACAACAGCGAAACTCCATCTCAAAAATAAAATAATGTTTAATGTATTCTTGAGCCTATTTAAGATGAACAAGAATAGAAAAGCTATATGGTCACCGGTACTGAACTCCTGACCTCAGCCTCCCAAAATGCTGGGATTACAAACATGAGCCACCGTGTCCGACCAGTTCTGTCTTTTTTACACTGCAGTATTTTATAAATGTCCCATAACAAACACTTATTTCTTTAACCATGGTGGGGAAGACACTTGATCCATAAGCACTTAATAAGGCCGGGTGCAGTGGCTCAAGCCTGTAATCCCAGCAATTTGGAAGGCCAATTTGGGTGATCACTTGAGCCCAGGAGTTTGAGACCAGCCTGAGCAGCATGGTGAAACCCCAGCTCTACAAAAAAAAATGTGGTGGCATAAGCCTGTACACCCAGCTACTTGGGAGGCTGAAGTGGGATCACTTGAGCCCAGCAGGTTGAGACTGCAGTGAGCCATGACTGCACCTCCAGCCTGGGTGACAGAGACAGACCCTGTCTCAAAAAAACTAATTATTCAGACCGGGTCCGGTGGTTCATGCCTGAAATTCCAGCACTTGGGAGGCCAAGGCAGGAGGACCACCTGAGGTCAGGAATTTGAGACCAGCCTGACCAACGTGGTAAAACCCCACCTCTACTAAAAATACAAAAAATTAGCTGGGCATGGTGGCACATAACTGTAATCCCAGCTACTCGGAAGGCTGAGGCAGGAGAATCACTTGAACCCAGGAGGCAGAGGTTGCAGTGAGCTGAGATCATGCCATTGCACTCCAGCCTGGGCAACAGAACAAGATTCTGTCTCAAAAATAAAAATAGTCGGGCACTGTGGCTCACGCCTATAATCCTAGCACTTTGGGATGCCGAGGTGGGTGGATTACCTGAGGTCAGGAGTTCAAGACCAGCCTGGCCATCATGGTGAAACCCCATCTTTTAAAATAAATAAATAGTAAAAATAAAGTCATAGCTTGCAGGCTGTACAAAAAAAAGCCAGCCACTGGATATGGCCCGTGGGCCACAGTTCACCAAAACTAAGCTCTAAAGCTTCCTTGGTTCATTCACTCCTCAGCCTGCCCCTGGGAGGCGCCCATCCCAGACTCATCGCACAAGCCAGTGTTGTCCTACCTTCATTGATCTTCGCTGCAAACTCTCGGATGGACTTAAGGGAGGCCAGGTCCAACTGCCGGGCATTCACATGGTGATTGAGGGTCTCCCGGCGGATGGCCCTTGCCGCTGCCTCACACTTCTCCATGTCTCGGCAGGCCAGGATGATGTTGCCTCCTGAAAACCCAGGATAGAAAAAGGTTTACATTAATAACCCACTCCTAGATACTGACACAGGAGAAATGAAAACATTTCTACACAAAACACGTCTACACAAAAGCACATGCACCAATGTTCACGTGGCACTCTTCACAGAAGCCAGACGGTAGAAACAAATGTCCATCCATGGATAAGGGGATAACAACATGGTCCCTTCAGAGGGGTGGAATATTACACAGCTGTGAAAAGGAGTGGAGGACTGACTCAGGCTACAGCAAGGAAGACCTCAGAAACTCTGCTCAGGAAGAGAAACCAGACACAGAAGACCACATAGCGGACAATCCCATTTACAGGAATTCTGTTCACACGATTTCACGCATATGAAATGCCCAGAATAAGCAAATCCACAAAGAAAATAGACTATTTGTTTCCTAGGGCTGGGGGGGAGAAGGAATTGCAGCTTGGTAGTTAAAGCAAGAAATGTTTCTTTCTAGAGTAACAGAAATGCTCTAGGGTTGATTTTAAAGATAGTTGCATCACTCTGTGACGATACTAAACATCACTGAACTGGCCAGACACGGTGGCTCACACCTGTCATCCCAGCACTTTGGGAGGCTGAGGCAAGAGGATTGTTTTTTTTCTTGAGACGGGGTCTCTCTCTCTGTTGTCCAGGCTTGAGTGCAATGGGGCGATCTCAGTTCACTGCAACCTCCACCTCCAGGGTTCAAGTGATTCTCCTGCCTTAGCATCCTAAGTAGCTGGGGTTACAGGGGCCTGCCACCTCACCCAGCTAATTTTTTTTTGTATTTTAAGTAGAGACAGGGATTTCACCATGTTAGCCAAGCTAGTCTCAAACTCCTGACCTCATGTGATCGGCTCCTCAGCCTCCCAAACTGCTTGAGTTACAAATAACCCACAGCACCTGGCCTCCAATTTTTTTGTTGTGGTAAAATTACACATCACTTAAAATTTACTGTTTTAATGCCCCCTTTTTTTTTTTTTTTTTGAATCACAGTCATACTCTGCTGCCCAGGCTGGAGTGCAGTGACACCATCATAGCTCATTCATCCTTGAAGTCCTGGGCTCAAGCGACCTGGGACTACAGGCACCACCTGTGCCAGCACGCCTGGCTGATTTTTTGCGGGGCAGAGAGATGGGGTCTTGCTATGTTGTCCAGACTGATCTGGAACTCCTGGCCTCAAGTGATTCTCCCGCCTCAGCCTCCAAATGTGCTGGAATTATAGATGTGAGCCACCTTAAACATTTTTATGTATCCAGTTCGTTGGTATTAAAAACATTCATGGCCGGGCGAGGTGGCTCAGGCCTGTAATCCCAGCACTTTAGGAGGCCAAGGCAGGTGGATCACCTGAGGTCGGGAGTTTGACACCAGCCTAACCAACATGGAGAAGCCCCATCTCTACTAAAAATACAAAATTAGCTGGGTGTGGTGGAGCATGCCTATAATCCCAGCTACTTGGGAAGCTGAGGCAGGAGAATTGCTTGAACCTGAGAGGCAGAGGTTGCAACAAACTGAGATGGTGCCACTGTACTCCAGCCTGGGCAACAAGAGCAAAACTCGATCTTAAAAAAAAAAAAAAAAAAAAAAAAAAAACCAAATTAAAAAAAAAAAAAAAAAAAAAAAAAAAATCATAATGTACAACCAATACAACTACCCATCTCTAGAATCTCTAGAAAGTTTTCATCTTCCCAAACTAAAATTCTGTACCAATTAAACAATAACTCCCCATTCTCCCCTCCCCACCCCTGGCAAGCACCATTCAAACTTCTCTATGAATTTAACTCTAGGTAGCTCATATAAGTGGAATCATACAATATTTGTTCTTCTGTGGAATGGCTTATTTCACTTAAGAGTCATGTCCTCAAGGTTCATCTGTTAGAATGCCCTTCCGGCCAGGTGCAGTGGCTCACACCTGTAATCCCTGCACTTTGGGAGGCCAAGGCCGGTGAATCACCTGAGGTCGGGAGTTCGAGACCAGCCTGATCAACATGGAGAAACCCTGTCTCTACTAAAAATACAAAATTAGTTGGGCATGGTGACATATGCCTGTAGTCCCAGCTACTCGGGAGGCAGAGGCAGGAGAAATCACTTGAACCTGGGAGGCGGGGGTTGCAGTGAGCCGAGGTGGCGCCACTGTACTCCAGCCTGGGCAACAAGAGCAAAACACCACCTCAAAGAAAAAAAAAGAATGCCCTTCCTTTTGAAGGCTGAATCGTTTCACTGTCTGCAGACGCCACATTCTGTTTCTCTGTTCATCTGTGAGTGGGTGCCTGGGTTGCTGGACTGTGAATCATGCTGCATAGGTGTGCAAATCTCTCTCCCAGAGCCAAAGCAGGGGAGATTTTACCTCTTTTGGCCAGTTCAAAGGCGGTCTGCTTCCCTATGCCTGTGTTAGCGCCTGTCACGATGACCGTCTTTCCAGGGATGGTGGCCTTGCTGGGGCAAACCCCACCGGCAACATTGTCCCTGAGGGCGGGAAGGGGCACAGTCAGTCCTGTCTGCCCACTCTCACCCCACGTGCCCCTGACTGAGTGATCTCAGACAAACCCGTATGAGCTCACTCCCGTCCCCCAGCTGAAAAACAGATGTCATCACATCACACAGTGGGATCTCTATCATGTTCTTCATGTTGGTCAGGCTGGTCTCGAACTCCCGACCTCAGGTGATCTGCCTGCCTCGGCCTCCCAAAGTGCTGGGATTACAGGTGTGAGCCACTGCACCCAGTGACAATTGTTATTTTATAAACGCCTAAAGCATGAGATTCCCAGCCGGGCAAGTAATCCCAGCACTTTGGGAATCAGAGGCAGATCACTTGAGGTCAGGAGTTCAAGACCAGCCTGGCAAACACGGTGAGACGCAGTCTCTACTAAAAATACAAAAATTAGCTAGGCATGGTGGAGGGCACCTGTAATCCCAGCTACTCGGGAGGCTGAGGCACAACCAGAAAGCAGAGGCTGCAGTGAGTCAAAATGGCACCAGCCTGAGTGACAGAGTAAGACTCCACCTCAAAAATCTTAAAATTTAAAATGCCCACTGCATGAGATTTCCAGGGCTGCTGTATGCATTACCACAAACTCAGTGACTTAAAACCACATAAATGTATTATTCTATAGTTCTGCAGGTCAAGAGTCCAAAATAGGTCTCACTGCAATAAATCAAGGAATTGGCAGAGTCACGCCCCTTCTGGAGGTTTTAAGGGAGAATCCATTTCCAGCTGCTATAGCCTGCGACATCCCTCCACTCTTGGCCCGCCTCCATCTTCAAACTGATATCATCCCTGGAACCTCTCCTTCTGGCTTCCACCTGACCTCTGACTGAGCCTCCTGCTCCCTCACATAAGGACCCTATAAGACTACAGGGCAGGCCGTGCACGGTGGCTCACGCCTGTAATCCCAACACTTTGGGAGGCCGAGGTGGGAGGATCACTTGAGGTCCAAAGTTCAAGACCAGCATGGCCAACATGCTGACAGCCCATTTCTACTAAAAATACAAAAATGGGCCGGGTTCAGTGGCTCACGCCTGTAATCCCAGCACTTTGGGAGGCCGAAGCCAGTGGATCACCTGAGGTCAGGAGTTCAGGACCAGCCTGGCCAACACGGTATAGCCCCGTCTCTACTAAATATACAACAATTAGCTGGGCATGGTGGTGGGTGCCTGTAACCTCAGTTACTCGAGAGGCTGAGGCAGGAGAATTGCTTGAACCCAGGAGGTAGAGGTTGCAGTGAGCTGAGATCGCGCCACTGCACTCCAGCCTGGGCAACAAGAGCAAAATTTCATCTAAAAAAATAATTAGCAGGGCATAGTGGTGCACACTTGTAGACTCAGCTACTCGGGAAGCTGAGGTAGGAGGATCACCTGAGCCCAGGGAGGTTGAGGCTGCAGTGAGCTGTGACAGCATGACTGCATTCCAGCCTAGGTGCCAAAGAGGCCCTGTCTCAAAAGAAAAATAAAAAAGCCTACATGATAATCATAAGATCCTTCACTTAACACATCAGCAAGACCCTCTGACGCTTGAGGTAACGCAGTCACGCATTGCAGGACTGGGACGTGGCCACCTCTCCAGAGCCATGACTTTGCCCACCACACCCATGTCCCACAGAGGCTAATGCTGGAAACACACAATGTCCGGCAACAGGGGGCTGAGCCGATCTGCACCACAGCCCACAGGGGAGAGAAACTCCAGGACATACGGTGGCCACCAGCCACTGAGGCTTATTTTTAAATAACTTTAGCCCTGGCGGGGCGCGGTGGCCCACGCCTGTAATCCCAGCACTTTGGGAGGCCGAGGCAGGCGAATCACAAGGTCAGGAGTTCAAGACCAGCCTGGCCAACATGGTAAAACGCCGTCCCTAATGAAAATAAAAAAATTAGCCAGGCGTCGTGGCACAGGCCTGTAGTCCCAGCTATTCAGGGGGCTGAGGCGGGAGAATCTCTTTAACCTGGGAGGGTCGGAGGTTGCAGTGACCGGAGATCGCGCCACTGCACTCCAACCTAGGTGACAGAGCAAGACTCCGTCTCAAAAAAAAAAAAAAAATTAGCCGGGCGTGGTGGCGCGCCTGTGGTCTCAGCTCCTGGGGACGCTAAGGTGGGAGGATCACTGGAATCCAGGTGGTCAAAGCTGCCGAGATCGCGCCACTGCACTCCAGCCTGGGTGACAGAGCCAGATTCTGCCTCTAAAACTAAATGAACAAATAATAAATAAGAGTTTAAAAGTCTGAAAGGAAAGCCACATTTACAAGGGCCCAGGCTCGCCCTTCCCTCCGCGTGACCTTGGGCCGTGAGCCGGCCGGCCCGAGCGCAGGTGTGCCCCACTCCCGGCAGGCAGCGCGGTCCGCAGCTGCGGGGGCTGGACCCGGGTGCGAGGGGCGGGAGTCTGCGCCGCCTTCCCTGCCCCAGCACTGGGGGCCCGCCGTGACCGCGCACGCAGGGCTAGAATGTACTCACTTGAGCAGCACGGCGCCGCCTACTACGGTGCCCAGCGCCGACAGCGGCAGCAGGTAGCGGTTCATGCCGGGCCCGCGACGGGGCTCGGCGGTCTGCGCGGAGCCGACTGCTGACCCGCCGCCCGGGCAGCTCCCGGAAGAACGCGAGACGCAGCGACGCACCTGGGGAAGCGCAGGCGCGTTGGGGCCCGCGAGTTCCGGAACTGGGCTGCGAGGGGCGTGGCAAGGGCAGAGTGGGCGGGGATCCCAGGGGCGGGACCTATGAGCATCGGCCCGGAGCGCAGTTACAGCTGGTAGTGGCGGTTTCGAGCATGTGGGCGCAGCCTTGTCCGGGGACGGGGCCTACGGTTCGTTCGAACGACGTCACACTTGCCGCACCATTTAAGGCGCTGCGCAGCTCTAGAGTGACACAGGTTTGAATCCCACCACTGTTAACTGCAGACTGCGACCCTCTGTGTGTCTTTCAAATATGTCAGCCCATTTCCTCATCTGGAAATGTGTGCTTACCTTCTTCATAGGCTTTTGGGGATAATTTGAGAATTTCCATGCTCAGAAACAAGGATATAGTAGCCTGTTGGTACCCAAGCTTCTGGGGCGGCTTGGGTCCTGGACTCCTGGTCTGAGGGAGTTGAGGACTGGGGCCTGGACTCCTGAGTCTGAAGGAAGAGGAGCTGGGGTCCTGGACTTCTGGGTCCAAGGGAGGAGAGGCTAGGTGTCAGGACTCCTGGGCCTGAGGGAGGAGGGGCTGAGGGCCTGATTCATTCCCAGATTCTCAGAATCTCATCCCAATGTCTGAGCCTGTACAGAGACGTCTTCCTGAACTCTGCCTGAACTTTTTTTTTTTTTTTGAAATGGAATTTCCCTTTTGTGGCCAAGGCTGGAGTGCAATGGCGCGATCTTGACTCACTGCAACCTCCGCCTCCTGAGTTCAAGCAATTCTCCTGCCTCAGCCTCCCAAGTTGCTGGGATTACAGGCATGCACCACCACACCCGGCTAATTTTGTATTTTTAGTAGAGACGGGGTTTCTCCATATTGGGGAGGCTGGTCTCGAACCCCCAACCTCAGGTGATCCACCCACCTCGGCTTCCCAAAGTGCTGGGATTACAAGCATGAGCCGCCGTGCACAGCTGAACTACCTTTCTTTGACTGAGTATCGCAGACACTCCTGCACTTACCTGTCCATGTTTGTTACCCCCACCAAACCAGGATGCACCTCTGGGCACCTGCTTTCCCTTGCACTGCTCCAAGCAAGCGTATCTGATCACCACCTCCTACCCCTGACAGTGTCTGAGGCCCCAGAAGCAGATGCCACTGGAAACGGAAGAATTCAACCCAAGTCGCTCTGACTGGGAGTAAGTTTTCTTCCCCCCTCATATGAATGGTCATCTTCTTACAGGAGTCCTGCCATAATGGAGATTACTCAGGCAGAAAGAGCTGTTTTAAGACCTTAGTCCTATAGTCCTGAAGCTCTCACCACCTCATACAAAAATTAAACCAGTTACACGATGACAAATACGGTATGATTTCACTTCTATAAGGCACTTGGAGGAGTCAAATTCATAGAGACAGAAAATAGAGCGGTGGGTGCCAGTGGCTGGTGATGAGATTGGGAAGTTGTAGGTTTTTGCTGCTGCTGTTGTTTTGAGATCGAGTCTCGCTGTGTCGCCCAGGCTGGAGTGCAGCGGCACAATCTCAGCTCACTGCAAACTCCACCTCCTGGGTTGAAGTGATTCTCCTACCTCAGCCTCCGAGTAGTGGGATTACAGGAGCACACCACCACACCTGGCTAATTTTTGTATTTTTAGTAGAGATGGGATTTCACCATGTTGGCCAGGCTGGTCTCAAACTCCTGACCTCAGGTGATCTGCCCACCTCAGCCTCCCAAAGTGCTGGGAGTACAGGTGTGAGCCACTGTGGCCGGCCCCCTGTCATTGAATTTGGAAGGATGACATGAAGTCATCCATAACAAGGACTTAATCCATAGTAAGTGCCAGAACATTGCTGGCCGTTAACACTGTTACCACAAAGAGAACAATGCGTGCAAATTTGTCCTCTGAGGACCTCCTCCTACCTGATTCCCAAACACACCCAAGGGAGTTAGAACATCTATTTGGACTCCCCGTGGGCTGTCCACCCCTTTACCATTTTTCTCGTTAACAAGTTCCTGATCAGCTTTGGGTGCTGTCCCAGGTGCTGAGAGGATTCTCCCACAATGCCCTTTGCTTTCCGCATCAGAGGGTTTATGGCACCCAGTTCTCACTCTCATTCTCTCTGTCCTTTTTCGCTCTCTCTCCCTCTCACCCTCTATCTCATCTCTCCCCCATCTCTCACCCCTCTCCGCCTTCCTCTTTCTTTCTCTCTCCTTCTTTCTTCCTCTCTCTTCTTGTCTCTCCTCCCTCTCTCCTTCTCTCTCTCCCTCTCCCCCCAACTCTCTCTCCCCACACCCATCTTGAGAGTCCTTAGCAGTGTAAGATGAGTTTAGCTACCCCAAAGCTCTGTCGAAATAAGGACGGGGGCCAAGGGGCTCCAACTGTCCCAGACTCCAGCTGGAGTCTTTCCAGCCCAGGCCAGCTTCTTCCCGAGCCATCACCAAAGGGCACACAGATAAGCAACTCCACCAAGGCCTGTGCAGACCGTAGATTCTTGAGCAAAATAAATATGGTCCTTGCCTGAAGCCACTGGGTTTTACAATAATTAGTTACATGCCTGTAGTAACTAGAATGATTTCTCCAGGTTTTTTAACTTTTTTTTTTTTTTTTTTTTTTTTTTTT